TGTGGTGACAGGTTCCGTTGGAGAACTGTGTACGCCAGCAGGGACTGATACGTGAAGATTTCTTGTTCTTTTGCAGTGCCGTTGCTTGGGAATGGCAGGGACCCGTTGAAGTATCCCAAGAGATGCGCAGCCTCCATCAGCAGCTCGAACTCAAAACTACAGGTAAAGAAATCGTGTTTGTTGAATGGTGAGGATGTCTGCAGTTTAATCACGTGTGAAAACTGCGCCTGGAGACTTAAAATCTCGTTTGGTGTCTGTTGTGATGCAGCTGCTGTTGGTTGGGCACGGGGCGGCATGAACTCGAACGTCCCCGGTGAAGAATGATAAGGTGCAAAGGTAGGCACTTGATTGTGTCGCCCGAACGATGAGTTGTCGAGACTCATTGGCGCTAATCCCATGTTTCCTCCGTTGCTTTGTGTTGAATGCGCAGGTGTCCTTGTCTGCTGCTGCTGGTCGAAGTGTGACATGAAGCTGAAGAATCTTTCCATAAGGTTCGGGTCGACGCTTGAAGAGGGTGATGGGGTCACCATTTCTGGTGCTCTTCCTGTTGTTTCTTGAGCAGCGCCGGTCTCGGTTAGCAGTCCTGAAGTGTGCAGTCCAGAGTTGCCGGGTTGAGTATCTTGGGCACTGGGTGAGCCCGTAGAGGTCTTCTTGCCCTTGCTGTCCATGACTTGTAATCAATGAAGTCGTTGGTGTGCTGATTGTAGATAGAGCGTAGTTGCTGGGAGTTTGGTCTCTGACCAGCTCTCATACCATGTAGGGCTGAGAAATGCCCTTAGGATCTTTCCAGAGACTAAGTTTCAGTTGTAAAAGACTTGAGTAGTTCAGCGGAAGTTGAGGTAGTTGAACCCTTGTACTAGTATATGAGAACAAGTGATTGATTAAAAGAACAAGCATACCGCAATATATAGAAAGTAGGAAAGTAAAGCAGTTGAAGAATACAGTTGAAAGAGCGGTTATCGAGTCGCACAGCGACTCGATTGTCGCTTCGGTTACCATCTTTGCAGTTGTAACTGTCAGTCGCAACCTCCAGTTGCGACCCTTCGAGTCCTTTCGTGTTGTTTGTCCAGCCCCTCGTGTAACCTCCGTTGACTCGCGTACCCGTTACGACCTTCCTCGAGTGTGGTGTTACACTTCCTCAAGTCCTTGAGGTATTTCCTACAATTATTGTGATAGATTTCTATGACCTATATGGCCCTAAATTAATTATCACGCATCACATCAATTACACTTTCTTACACATATTTACTCGTGTTTTGTTGTGCTTTTGCTGTATACATTCATGGGCTAGCCTTATATCGAATATCGGCACATAACTGAAAACCCGCACGAATCAAGGAATGTTTTCCCTTGGAGCAAGAAGAAATAATGTTTAATATTTTTCTAATCATGCGCTGCCCAGTTGATTGTGTTGTGTAATATACGTTTCAGCATGTTATTATACTAGTAAACACTGATAGCGTCACACTATATCTGCCTTTCTAAAACAAATTTGGGCCCTCCTAAAACCAATGGCGTATGAAAATAACAAATATAGGTGAGATTCGGAACTGAAGATCGTAAGAGTAAGAAATGCGCGCGCGGGAAAAAGGAGTGAAACGGATGGTGTTCGGGCGGGGGTTTCGGCGAGTGACCTCTCGTGTTAGAAATCGCCAGAAGGTGCGACCTCCCATGTTTTTGGAGTGACGCGCTGAGGTTTTCCTTCGGAAAAAGTGCTCGTTCGCATGACGAGGGTGACTAAGTGTGCGAGGGAGGCGAAAAGAGTGACCTGTACTATAATTTCGTGGGATGGATTAGGCGGGCTGGGGGCTTGAGGGCGTATCTGGATGTGCAACTTTTTGTTATGCTCCCGAATCCTCTCACCGTGTTTGGTTCTCTCATGGTGAGTGTGGACGCTTGGCTACCGTATGGATAATCGTTCATTTTGGCTGCAATTTTTGCTGCACCTTCGAGGCGTTTGGCCTTCCCCGAACGTTTGAACTTCGTCTGAGTCACACGCTTCGCGCCATCGTTAGCTTGAAAAACCCGCAGTCTCGTGAGGTTCAAGCTGGCAGTTCGTAGAAAATGTTCATCCAAGAAAGAAGAGTGAATGGACTAATTTCTACAGGTAGTTGCCCAACAATGGTTATTTTCACGGGTAAATTTCGGACGGATTTTCCTCTTTTACGGTTTCGGTTATCACCGTTCGGTGGTAATCGGGTGGGTTTCGGCTCGAAAGCGGGCTGTAATCCTAGGTTTGGCGGATTTTGGCCTGAAAACGGACGCTGACGGATATGATATGGCCTGAAGACAGACTTGGGTGGTTTCAGTAGGGAGCCCGGATCTGACAACTGGAGACCTCACTGCAGATTGTCACTTTGGCACGCGCAGCATCGAGCCCCGCAACATAGAAAATATCGAAAGATTTCGTAGATTTGCATTCTTTAACTCGTTAAGGACTAGAACACCTGGTTTTCTTTTGGACGATGAAATAGTTTCCTATAGGCTGCTCCAGAATCACACCTAGAATTTTGTTGGCAGGTTGGGCTTGTGTTGCGCAGCTGGTTTCCCATATTGCTTTACAAGTCATATGCGTTCATTGCAATGACATTCTATGCTACATACTATGCCATAAGCCGTTTATCCATAGAATCAGCTACCATGTACTCCCCGAGATCGGATTTCAACTGTACTGTTTGGATTATAGTCCCGATTAAGCGATTAAAAGGGACCGTTGTGATTGGGGGATGAGATCTGATAAAACATGATCTGTCAGGCCTCGTTAATCAATGCGCGGAGTTGGATCCACTTTATCGTAGACAAAATCCTGGATCCAAAATCCAGCCATTCAAAAACGCTACGTTTTGTAACGAAATATACCTCGATTCGTCTACAGATATTTTGTCGAGTGTTTGAGAAACAAAACTCGATTCGCTTAGGGTGTGTTCTTTCATATTGCGCAACTCGGTCAAATCGGGCAGTTTGAGTTTGTTACGATTTTCGTAAACTTTTCGAGGTTCCCGCTCCACGGCCCTAATTTTCGTCAACCCCACAACTTAACGAATTTCATGAAAAACGCAAATGTAAATAGCTTGACCCTATTTTTCGTCTATTATGCTCTTTATTATTGTTGTGGTATATTTCATACTTAGCATTTCTGTAAGTCGTTTATCGATAGATAGTATCGAATCCTACTATAGAAGATAAGTCCGTAGGATGGCGTCAGCAAATAGCGCTCGTCATAGGACAGTCGTTTTAGTCACGCGAATAGTCGCACCTCTTCATTATCATCTAGGGCGCATAGCGCAATAGTGACGAACAGGTACATTAGCGAACAGGTACTTTCCTAGAACTATAAATCTTTGTTGTATCCTTTTTATTATTAACCTTGAGATTTCAACTTTGAGAACTTTGAGACTTAACTTCTGCAGAAACATATACTGAGGTTCACTCTTACAAGACTTCCGATGTTTTACTAGTCTACCATTCCAGTAAAGATCCTAGGCTAACACTTGAGGTTTTTCGAGTGTTCGTGTTTGCAGATTTTATACTTAGTCTTCTGCAACACCTGTCGAAATATTACAATTATAAGAGCATGCAACTTCGTGTTGAAACTAAGGTTGACACGCGTACGACATGGCGGGCGACGGATGCTCGCAGCATGCTGCCAACTATGAATAGTACATATAAAACAAAGCTTCAATCATTCTGGAAACTCCATAGTCTCACTTGCTTGTAGCGTACCACCATTATGTCTTGTAAACCATTTTTGGCGAACCGCATTTCGGGAGTCTCTCGCATATGACTTGTATCTGCATAAAGTGGGTCATTTATAAGTTGTTCTTTCCATGTTCTTTTCATTACAATATCATGTCAGATAATGCTTCTCGCGAACCTTTTGTCCTTCAATCTTGTAAATCTCGTGTCTAGTTGACGGGACATACAGTAGATGCTCACCTAATGCTGTACGTAGCCCCTATCCCAATCAGAATCACTTCTTGAAACCTCGGATGTAGGGGCAGTATGATAACGCATACAATCACATTTACACCGCACAGCTACTGAATCCACCACACGTTGGAGGGCGGAACGAAACGATCACACAATTGCCCGCTGGGACCTCTGTTTATTGACTAGACACAAATATCTTGTTACAAATTCCACGGTTCTGTCCCACTTGCCTTTGGAGAAGCATGCGAAATGACGAGCTTGACATTGTCTCCGTGATTCGAGAAGTTTGTATGACTCTCTCGCTCTTCGACTGCACGCGAGCGGCCATGCCTCGCGAAAGGCATTCCACGTTTCGTAAACCCATGTTGCGAATTCTCCAAGTCGGTCTTGTAAATGTCTCATCTGCACGTTTACTCGACGGAGGATCAGAATGGGTAACAAATACCAATCCGGGCATGTATAGGATAGAACCGTTTCCTGGAATTTGGAACCAGTAGGCCTGTTAAGAAATGCACGATCGTTTTGGAATGAGCGCTTGACTGGAAATCAGGTGTACGAGTCGGGCACAGCACAGCAGCACACGCGCTGGACTGAGGGAGCAGGCTCGTGTCGTGCGGTCGTGTCGTGCTGTTTTTTGCTAACAGCAAGGCACCGTTGGAGAGAGCGTGATGATGACAGCACGAACAACAAAAGCGTGGCTGGCTCGCGACGCGAGCCCCTCAGCCCAAATAAGTCCCATGCCATGATCCCATGCCCATCCAGTGCCCCTCGTTACTGCACAGCGGGTCAGCAATGCTCCTTTCGTTATCCTCATCACCATGTTGGCCTCGTGCCCTCCAAACGCGCATTTCTCTCCTAAAATTTGGAACCTCAGTGCAATTGCATCATAGTGGTGGGTTGCTCCGCGGAGGAGAGGTGCGAAATTTGGGGGTGCATGCAGGTTCAGATGCATGATCCGAAATTAGTCATTCCGTGCACGGTCCTTACTTAATGCGGGTAATGTGCGGTTAGCTGTGCGCAGTTCGCGGCAGCGACCGATAAATAGAAATACATTGTAATTGAACTCAAATCGTGATTACCATGATGTCTCGCTTGCCTCCCCTCTCTGCCGCCGGTCGAGGCGGCCACTCCATCCGCGCGGGAACCTACGAGGACGTTTCGCAGCACATGCCCGGAAGCTACGCCGCCATTACCCCTGTCGCTTCCGCCAACCGCCGCCCACTGAGTGGTAGTAGCGCCAGCGGTGCACCTGGGGCGGGGGGCGGAGCGGCGGCGGGAGGGGGCTTCAACTCCCCGCCGCTGAAGCCGCTCGCTAGCGTGAAGCTGCGGCGGGGGACCAATGAGGACGCGTCGCAGCTCATGCCGGAGATTTACCGCGTCGGTGCTGCGGGAGGTGCGGAACTCGGCGCGCACGTGGCGGCGGGAAATGCGGAGAGGAGCTTGCGGGTAAGGATCATTTATGGGTCGAGGGTCGCTTCCTGGGCTCCGACACCTATCCGTACAACACCTTCGCCCAAGAGTCAGGATTAAAAACAAAAAGGGGGGGGGGGGGGGGCTAACTCCGAGTTGTAACCAGCATCACCGATATGCTCTTCCCCGGGTTCTCTGCTGCCCGGGTCCCTCTCTCGCCCCCGTCTCCTCTCGCTCCCCCCCACTCACGCCCCACCGTTCGCTCTCCCCCCCACTCACGCTCCCGACGCGGCAATCAGGCACTATCGAAGTTCGGTGGCAGCGCACGCCTCGACCCACCACCGCTAGTAAACGCGGCGGACCGCGCTCTCTCGCGCCATGCTAGCGCGGGAGCCTCCTCAACCGCCGCCTGCGCCGCCACCGCCTCTGCCGCGCCCGCCACGGCCGAGTTTGCGCTCTACTCGACTCTCGGGGCCGACCCGCGAGGCGCCGCGGGAACAGGAGTGCCGCGCGGCGCGGTCTGGCAGCGCACCGAGCCAGAGCTGACGCATTTGGCACCCGCGCGAAGCACTTATGAGACGTCGCAAAAGGCACCACCACTACCGACGTCGGAAAAGGCATCGCAAGTACCGACGCGAGGCCCGCGAATGGCGTCAGCGGGAACTGCGAGTGAGATGGCGAGCGAGCTCGACTCTGTATCGAATGGGTTCAGTTTTATCACACTCACCTCGGACGCGGGCGACTCGGCGCGCACTGCGTGGATGAGCCCCGCAGCGAATCTCGCGGGAGCCGCGGGGAGCGGGGCGTTGCAGAGGGAATGCGCGGATGTGGGGGAGGCGGAAAGGAGGAGCTGCTGGGAAACGATAAGCAGCAACCGCACTGGATACGCGGACACATGGGAATGGGGGAGGGGCAAGGGGGAAGGCGCGGGTAATGGGGATGGTAGGTGGGGCGAAGGGGGGAAGGGTTTGGGGGAGGGGAGGGGGCAGTGCCGGGTGTTCGGCTTGGAGCAAATTATACGCGCTACAGACAATTTCAGTGACGCGAATCTGCTGGGACGAGGAGCATTCGGACAGGTATTGCGGGGAGAAACGGGGTGAACGTGTGAATGTGAGAAATAGCGCATTGAACTGAAATTACGTCATGCTAAAATAGGGTGTCAACATTTTGGGAATTTGTGTAACGAAATCGGATTACTTCTATGAATGGTTGTGCTGAACCTCATTTATTTTTATCGCAGAGTTACTTCCCTTCCCTTCCTCCATGGGGTTGGAATAGGAGATGGCCAATCGCATCCCTCCCTCCCTTAACCCGCCTTCCTCCAGGTGTTCAAGGGCCAGCTGCTGGGGTGCAACATGGCCATCAAGCGCCTGGAGGGCGGTGGGTGGCAGGGCCCCAGCGAGTACAGCACGGAGGTGGAGGTGCTCAGCCGCATGCGCCACCCGCACATCGTGCTGCTCATGGGGCACTGCCCCGACCCCCAGGCCATGTGCATTCTCTATGAGTACCTCCCGGGCGGCAGCCTGCAGGAGTATTTGTCTGCTAGTGCGAGGAATGGGGGTGGTGCTGGGGGAATGGGGGCAGGCCACGGCAGCATGAACTCTGCTGTGTTGACTGGCCCTGGCGTGGGTGTGACAGCCGGCTCGGTTGCTGGTTCAGGGGCAGGTTCGGCAGGAGCTGTTCAGGTGCATCGTGTCCTGCGCCAGCCCTTGGCTTGGTACGACAGGGTACGAATACTCTCTGAAGTTTCAGGCGCCCTGCTCTACCTCCACCAGCACTCACCGCCCATCGTGCACCGAGACTTGAAACCCGACAATGTGTTACTCGATGGTAACCGCATGAGCAAGCTTGGGGATGTGGGGCTGGCGAGGCTAATTGCTGAAGATGATTACAATGTAACCGCGCGCGTGCAAGGGACAGTGGGGTATATAGACCCTGAAGAGGTGGCAACGTGTGAAATCTCGGTTTTATCTGATGTTTACGCGTTCGGGCTGATAGTGCTTCAGCTGCTGATGGGGGAGCCTCAAGTGAAGTTGGTTCACCGCCTGCTGGCGGATACAGCAGTAAAGCTAGCTGCAGATCAGAGTAGACGAGGGAGGGCGGGAGGAAACACGGGTTTGGCAAGTGGATGTGGAAATGGCAACAGTAGCAGTCATGGGGTTGGAGAGGGAGCATCATCCTCAGAGCCTCGGTTGTCTGCAGTGGATGCTGTTTTGGCACGGCTGGATAAGTCCGGCGGGGAGTGGCATGCTGACGTTGCACGCCACCTGGCTGTGATTGGAGTGCGGTGCGCTGACAGGGCAAGGGCGCGGAGGCCAGGATTGGAAGAGGAGGTGCAGCCGGTGCTGATGAGACTAGCGGAGGAAGTGCGAGGGGAGGGGGAGAGGGGAAGGACGGATGTGGACAGCCAGCTGCTCTGCCCCATCTCTCAGGTATGTCGACCCGGCCTTGGATATATTTCGAGCGTTTTCTTTAGGCCTACTTGGCATCCCAACCACTGTGTTTGCCTCACACATGGCCTATGGTTCTGTCTTCTCAATTGGAAATCCTAGACCTTGCGTTCCTTCACACCGTGTTTGCAGAGGCGCATGATGGACCCTGTGGTGGCAGCTGACGGGTACACATATGAGCGTTACGCGATCGAGCAGTGGTTGGAGTGCAAGGACACATCACCTACAACGGGAATGCCCTTCCCACATAGATTTCTCACCCCCAACAACACTTTACGTATTCTGCTTGCATCTCAGTGATTAAAGCTTGACAAATATAGCAAATGGCTTGTTCACTCCCAACCGTAGGTTTGTATTTTGTTCCACGTAAGTGGTGGTTTGGTGTATTCTTTATCTATATATACGAACATGTTTTGTGCCCCTGGTGTATGGTTCTTTCATGGAAATTTTCGCCCCTGCCATTTGCCAGCTTAGTGGCACGTCACCATGGTCACTCACCCAAATCTGCGTCTGATGGCCCCACTGATAAGATGCCATTGCCACATCAACTCTGTAACAGAAAATGTACGTCATTCTCGCCGTTTTTCGCCTCCAACACACTCCAACGGAATACAGTCGTGAGGCACTTGCGACAATTCATTGTTTTCGCGAAAGCCTATCTGAAAGGTGGAGCATCCACTCAGCATGAAATCCCTTCGGCCTCGTCAACCTCCCATCCTGTCTCCCCTGCTCGCCTTGGTGGAGGGAACACCAGCTTGTTGGGCTGGAGGGAAATCTGGAATCTATTGTGGGCTCTCTCTGTCATGTTAGCTTCGCCCAATCCGAAAATCACTTTCCGAGTCTTCACAGAGGTGGTAATCTCCCTGGTCAGTCCGAGAACCAGCTTATTTTCAACAATATTGCCGTGGTCTTATCGTCGTCCCTCTTGACTTAGTTCTCGTGATCCGGCGTCTCGGCTGCAAGGGAGATCGTGAGGATCAAGGTGGTAGAGATGCTGAGCATTGCGCAGTCGTCGGTTCAGGCGGCAGCAGCGGGAAGGCTGCTGCTTTCGCCAGAGTCAACCGCGAGCTGCGAATGGAGGCGAAAGGCGACATCGCAAGCCGTCGCACACGTCGCAATAAACAGAAGTTCGCGTCAACCCCTCCGTAAGTTATTTATTGTTTCCGGGAATCTTGAGACAATGTGGTCTCCTTGTTGAGTTGATCAAGAAAGATTTCTCTAATGCTCCCCAGCTCCTTCCAATTTGTTTTGGGTCCGCTTTCAGGAATCTTCGCCATTTCCAGCAACGACTTCCGTGTGGGAACCAGCATTGAGCTCGACGGCGCGCCGTGGAGAGTGCAAGGTGCGTTGATGGTGATGGTGGGAACCCTCGCGTACAAGCAACGGAAGAAAAGGCTTTGACGCAGCTTCATGTCTATTTACGCGTGCATTCCTTCGTGACAGCCAATGTAGATCAAACCACGCTATCCGCTTCGGAGTCTTTTCGTTCTTTTCTTTTTCCTTTTTTCCTTCTTGAAATGGATCCAACTTTCGTTGTCATCCGTCCTCCCTGTGCTGTCAGTGCAGAATTTCTGCATGTGAAGCCCGGCAAGGGGGCGGCGTTCGTGCGCACCAAGCTGCGCAACTTCATCACGGGGAACACCGTTGAGCGAACCTTCCGAGCCGGCGAGTCGGTCAGTCAATCTCCGGACTAAAACCCCTCGACTCTCTGTCTTTGTTCCGCTTTCGTCCTCGGTCTGGTATGAGGATAAATTCTCCGTCTGTCTCGTTCTTCCCTTCTATCCCCCCACTCCCCCTCCCATCGTTCGCCCCAGTACCCTCATCTTCTCCTATTCCCCTCATTTTCCAACTTTCGTTTATCTCATATTTTTTCCCGGCAGGTGGACGAGGCCAGCGTGGTGAAGGACGTGAAGCAGTTCACGTACCTCGACGGCGAGGACTACGTCTTCATGGACATGGTGAGTTGCTTGGCTTGGCTGGCCATTCAAACCCCCTACGCCATGTAGTGTTCCGATGGTCCACTTACGCCGATCCAATCAGTTCACGTACCTCGAGGGCGAGGACTACGTCTTGATGGACATGGCCAGTTGCTTTCACGAGTCGACTCGCGCTTGTGACAGAGAAATGTAGGTTCACTGCGTTGACACGGCTAACAGGACTTGATAAGCCGGCACCGCAACTACGGGCGGCTCGGAGAGCAGCGGTGATGATGAACGTGATCCCAAGTGCCGAACGGCCGTCCGAGTCAAGATGGACGGCCCGCGTGTGGCCTCACCGGCGGACTGAGCTGCCCTCGCCATTGATTTCCGTCTTTTTCGTTGTCTATCAATCTGCTGTCGTGTAATCTGCATGCCGGGGCTGTTGAGCCCGACTCGATATCGGAGTCACTCCAATCTCGTGTTGCATTTGAACCGATTCTCTTCATCTCCCTTGAAGGCGGCGGGAGAGCGTGTTTGATTCCATCCTCCCCTTTGCTGACTCTCGAGTCGACTCAAATGTCTTCCGAACCGAATCCCCTTGTGCATTCCCCTGGAAATCGCGGCAATGATGATGATCAAAATGAGACTCTCCGATGCCAGCTGCCGCATGACGTGTGGCTGACTGCATGAGGAGAAAATTGATGCGGTTAGCTGAGCCCCCGATTCCCGTGGCATGCCTACATGTATTCATGGACCATGACCCATACCCCAACATCGCTACGCATGCCGCATGCGTGTGTCTCCCACATCAGCATGGCTCGACATTAGGTGCATGTATGCTTATCTCACCGAGTCGGACACCTCTCTTCCGCTCCCTCTTTCCCCCCTGTTCTCAATTCCAGGTGACGTACGAGGAGACGCGGGTGACCAAGGCGCAACTGGGCGACAGAGTGAAGTTCCTTAAAGAGGGGATGGAGTGTAACGTGCTGACGTGGAACGACAAGGTGATCGACCTGGAGCTGCCGATCACGCTCAAAGTGAAGGTCGTTCAAACGGACCCCGGCGTCAAGGGGGACACGGCGGGAGGAGGTAAGCGATGAGGGACGAGTGTGACAGGAGAGAGACGAGGGGAGATGGATGAGATGAGTGGAGAAAGGAAGTCGGGTGCGGGAGCTTTCGAGCGCGCTCAAAGTGAAGGTTGTTCAAACGGACCCCCGTGTCAAGGGGGACACTGCTGGCGGAGGTGAGTCCGATGGGGGGCGAGGAAGCACAGGGTTGAATGGATGCAGAGAGTTTCGTCGATGGATACATAGGTAGCATCTGCAATATGTAACGAGCTAGACAGTATGTAATGATTCACTCCGCCCTCCTCTCCTCCCCCCCCCCCTCACCACTCTCCCCCCTCCTCCCCCCTCCCCCTTGCACACCGTTTCCATTGCACTACTTGAACAAACAGGTGGGACCAAGCCTGCGATTATCGAGACGGGAGCTACAGTGTCGGTGCCACTGTTCATCGAAGAGGGAGAGGCGATCACTGTAGACACTCGCACCGGCTCCTACATGGGCCGAGCCTAAACCTCACTTCGGAACTGTTGAGTTAGCAGTAGCTGAGCATCAATAATGTAGGGGTTTCTGGTTGCACCAGCTCTAAGAGCGGGTATGAGGCTCATTGGGGCATAGAACAACTGAGGCACAACTCCCTGGTGCAATATTTGTCTCGTAATATTTCTCTTCATTATCAAAATTGCGTGTTGACACTAAGCCCTCTTAATACGATAAGGAAAATATCAGTATGTTCCAGGTCTTACGGTATGAAAAGAAAAGTACATGTAAAAAACGCTTATTGGCATATGGACGAGTATCACTCAACACAAACACACACACCCCATGGAAAAGGAATATTGTGGATGGATCGAAGCCTTGTGCAAGTGGATAAGTCATGCTCTGTACAAGCACTCCAGCAGCCCCCATTCAGTCACGGACTGCATTAGGAAAGAAGGGGCAGGGTCTTGCCGGATGCCTTTTCTTTAGTCACGCGCCACACAAGCACACCAGCAGCCACAGCTACAATCACAGCCGCAGCAGGCCAGCTCCATAGCGCCCACGCCTTGAGGGTGTTTCCTGGTAGCTTCCTCACCAGGCCCGTGCGTTTAGCTACCAGCTGCACTGCTGCTGCCACTGCTGCAGCAAGCACAACGGGTGCAACAGGCGAGGTGACGATGCTGATGCTGCTGCTGCTGGCGGCAGCAGCAGGAGCAAGCTGCGTTGCTGTTGAGCTCTGATGTTCTACTGCTGCTGCTGCTGCTGCTCTTGCTACTGCTGGTGCTGCTGGCGCTGTTGCTGGCTTCTGTGCTGCTGCTGAAGGCGCAACTGCAGGTGGTGCAGGAGTACTCGTGATGGCAGACAGCACTGGTTCCAAGGGATGATCATTGGTGGCAGGCGAGTGGTGGTGGTGCTGCTGCTGATGATGGCTGTGCGCCGAGAGGGTTTCCTTGAGAGCAGTGACAGTGTTGTGCGCCGTGGTGGTCACCAGGTGCGACAGTTGCTGGGCTCTGTGGTGATAGGGAGGGGGAGGAGGGTGGGGGGGATGGAAGGGGGGGCAGGGATGAGGGGGAGATGAGTGGGGGTAGGGGGGAAAGGGGGGAAGGGGTGGTTTGTGGGGGGGAGGAGGGGGGGGGGGTGGAGGGACCCATGGAGGGTGGGGGAACAGGCAGAGAAGGACGGCAGAGGGCAACAGTGTTGTGCGCGGTGATGGTTACCAGGTGCGACAGCTGCTGGCCTCTGTGGTGATAGGGAGGGGTGGGGGAGTGGGAAACAAGAAAAGGGTGGTTCAAAGTGCGTGCGTCTTCCCAATACTATGTGTTGATGGTTGATCAGGCTGTTCTTGTGTGCGACTGGAAAGAGTGGAAAGAGGAGAATCAACAAATGTACCACACGTACGGTTGAAGGGGCACGTGGGTGCCCACGATCTCGTCGATCGCGGCGTTATCCAGCACGCGGCAGTGCGGCGTCCGGCAACCCAGCAGAAACTCTACCACGCTTCTCTCCACCTCCACCGCCGCGTGCTTCCCGCTGCCCGTGCCGGCCGCGCCGGCCGCGGCTGTGCCGGCCTCTGCGAAGCGCAGCATCACCGTGCCGTCTGGGAATTCTGGTGCTATGCGCGGCGAGGCATGCGGCGGAGACGGGATGGGCAGCATGCAGGCATGGCGACGGTAAGCAAGGAAAATGGCTTCTTCCAGGCGAGGAACGAGAAGCTAAGGAAAATAAGAAATTAAGGCACTAGCGACGAAATTAAGGCACTGGCAATTTCCACGCCGAAACAAGACCAATGCATAGTAAAAACCGGGTGTTACTCTTTCGAAGGCGAACGTAAAGGATTATATTGTTAATTATTATCAAATTTCATCCACCGCA